ACAATTTCAGTTTGTTTACTAGCCAAACTGGCTAATGAAAATCGAAAACCACCAGTCCTAGTCTGTGGCTAGTTGGCTACCTTTAGTTTCGAGCCCTGAGGTCTACACAATTCGTTTCCTTCAGCTACTAATCGCTGTTGAAACATTAGGGCTGGTTTTCACTAGCAACGAAGTTGGCGTTAGAGTCATAACTGGAGCTCTCAAGAGCACCTATGCTCTGGTGAAAACGGTGGTCTCTCTGCTCTTCTGATTACGACTACCATTCTGACGTATTGACTCCATATAAATAAGCTGCAAGCTCCAAAAGAAGGTGAAACATTACCTTGTTAACGGAACTGTGACACTGGGGAAAAAAGTGACAGGTCTAAGCACTTAAGGTCATGGGTGACATGACGGTAATATAACTGTCACGTAATGAGGATAACAACGATGCTCGATTGTCAACATCACTGATGCAGTCAGCTGTATGGACTTCTGAACAACGCCAGCGCTCCGGAACGGGACAAACATTCTGTCCACGGCTAACATTTTACATCTATGCCTTGAAAGGACTTAAAAAGACGCTGAATGGCGGAGAACTGCTCAAGATCGAACAGCTTGGGAAAACGCTGTGACAACCGTCTGCAGAATTCGGCCTCTACTATCTGCAAATGACCAAAGAGAGACACGAGAGACCCCTGAATGACGAGTAACCGGCTGAAAGGGAGGAACTTGCTTGACAGGTGTGTATCCTTCCATCGTCTTGCGTTTAATTGCTAAGCCACTATTGGACTATTTTTTTCATGTCTTTTCCTCATCAGACCGAAAGAGCTTTTCAAGCTGAGCCCACGGTATGAGACCCTGTTACCCATCGTTGAGACCATGCGCAAAATAAGCGCTAATTTTTCAACAACTGCAACAGCTAGAGGGAAACTTTCAACACATTTATATCACAAGATTATAACACTTCTGCCGAATTTGAATCAAGGTAAGGGCAACAACTTAGACCTTCCGATTACTGTGACTCCTCAGGAAAGCTTAATTAACTGGCTGATCGGATTATGCAATGTTAATCAAGTTAGATTCACAGAGATGCGACGGAATTACCGAGTTTATCGCGCGTTTTACACAGCAGCACTTCCGATAGAGGTTATTTAGTGATTCAAAGATCAAAATCACTTCGCTGTTCATTTCGTTCGCCAGCATTTACAAATTTACATTGAAACAATTTTAGACAGCTTGATTCAAATATGCTCTTCGTATGCCAAAGCTCAGTGCCATAAGACCGTGTCTGCTGATACATAGTATGTTTCGCCTGATCCGGAGATAACACAAGTTCCTTCCTAACTATCTAACATTTGTTGAAGCGATTCAAATATGTTGTCGACGACTTCTTAAGATCCATAGCTACAAAATTTAAACTAAATGCTACAGCTGACGCGTTACGGAGAACACACGCACACTTTCTATTATTTAAACAACAATCGGCATGGTGAACGAGTTGTTACAAACATGACATTCAGTCATTGTCCACTTGAGTTCTATTATATTATCATTTCGTCACTGAATACCAACTATACTCGCAAATACAAAGAAAGCTTTCACACGTAAAGGTTTTAATCACAGAAACGACACAATAATATTATAAAATAACCTAGAGCAAATTACACAGCAGAGTAAATAACCTCTTCCGGAGCGGACGATTATATGTCACATCGGAGATTAAAACCCTATCGTATTTTAATTGTCCGTAATTAACAAAGTACTTTAAATAAACACATGCACCATTCAAAAAGGCCGTTGCGTAAACATCTCTATAAAGCATATCAATTCACATGCCAACTCCTAAAGGTACTTGCTGTGCTCTTTCTAAGGACTTAAACAGTTTTTAACTCCTAGTACAAAACTTTGCTCATTTAAATTAATCTATCATTTCCGGTTGACAGCATGACATACAGGTCAAAGCTAAATACTGGAGCAATTTCCTACGCCTGCTGGCCACCGAAAAAACTCTTATTTTGCGCCAATTGCATACATGCGTATTCTATAACAGCAAAACAAAGTTTCGCGTGGTCTTGAGGGTAAAACAATAAATGGGCTTTGCTTGGCTCTGTTTCCCTTGGATAATGTGACTTTGGTCGCTAGGACTGAAAATCTGTTAGTAATGAAATCAAAGTGGCTGTGGGTCACTGAACTCGGACAATTAATAATAATGACCTCTCACGGAAAAACGTACACTAACGGCTTTCCGTTTTCAAACGGCTTTCCGTTTACAAGCCGTTTGTCAGCCGTTTAGAAAAAATTTGCATCCGTCTGAACGGCTTCGGTCATCCGTTCGTCGAAATCATCAGCCCGTTCGAACGGCTTGTTCACCCGTTCGTCGGAAACATCAGCCCGTTCGAACGGCCTGCTCATCCGTTCGTGAAAAACATCAGCCCGTTCGAACGGCTTGGTCATCCGTTCGTGAAAAACATCAGCCCGTTCGAACGGCTTGGTCATCCGTTA